CCCTCACTACAAGAAAGACAGAGGTGCTGGAGAATGTCCAGAGAAAGGCAACAAAGCTGGTGAAGGGTCTGGAGCACAAGTCTTGTGAGGAGCGGCTGAGGGAACTGGGGTTGGAGAAAAGGAGGCTGAGGGGAGACCTTATTGCTCTTTACAACAACCTGGAAGGAGGTTGTAGAGAGGTGGGGGTCGGTCTCTTCTGCCAAGTAACAAGTGATAGGACAGGAGGAAACAGCCTCAAATTGTGCCAGGGGAGGTTTAGATTGGATATTAGGAACAATGTCTTCACCAAAAGCATTTTCAAGCACTGGAACAAGCTGCCCAGGGAAGTGGTTGAGTCACCATCCATGGAGGTATTTGAAAGATCTGTAGATGTGGCACTTAGGGAGATGGTTTAGTGGTGGATGTGGCAGTATTAAGTTAACAGTTGGAGCTGATGATTTTAAAGGTCTTTTCCAGCCTAAACAATTCTATGATTCTGTAATCCATTTTCCTTCAGAAGTGCCAGGTTGAATATGGTTCATTTCCTGAATTATGTGGATTTCAGCTAATTCTATGCAAGGCATAAATTCAGGTCAAAAAGACCAGGCTTTTCTAGGAAGCCCATGTATTTATTCAAAACGCTGTGAGGTTGTTGATGTCAGTGTAGAGTGTAAGGACTTCATATCAGTGCTCATGAAAATCTGCTGTGGAGAAACCTTTTAAAATAGTATCTGGGTTAATCCTGTGCCTGCAGTATCTGGGTTGATCCCACAAGTGTAACAGCTTGAGTTCACCCAAAGACACTCATGCCAGGATTCAATGGGTTTGGTTCATTTTTATGCAATGCCAGAGTAATTTTCTTTTTAAAATACACTGTGTAAAATAGCATGTTTGGTTACCTAATAAAGGTTTTGAAACCTACAGGGGTTCTGTTAATTTCAGACAATTTTGTTCACATAGGAAAAATATCTAATAGAAATAGTTTATTGCAAATGTTTATGCTGGATTACCTACAGTTTTCAAGTTGCTCATGCCAAATAGAGCACGGGCAAAATGACTTAAGTCTACTACCAGTTCATTCATTTTTCCCTTGTTACGTACCTGGTTGAAAATACGGGAATGGCGGCGACTGCCTCGTCATTTTAGGCAGAACAGAGTTAGTAAATGTCAGCACTGGATGTGGACGAGGCTTTGGCAACACATTTTGCAAAGGCTCCTGAGAATGAGGCCAATGGCATTATGGCTAAGGACACCAGGACAAAAACGTGGCTTAGCTATTAATGGTCTGTGTGAGTTTCTGAGTTCATCAAGTGAAACCCTCCAAGT